TAAGTAACCTTTACCTAGAAGAGAAAACAGCAATAATCACCTTTCCATAAGATAAGCACTAAAACAAGATGTCAGAGCTCATTTACAAATCCAAACATAAAAACAATTCCTATTGCTCTACCTACAACCGTCTTTTTTAGAGTTATATATAGTTCTTCTAAGCGTGTTTTCTGATGTGTTTGTCGGCCACTATAGTGCAAACCCTATTTGATGGATGTCTGTAGATTTGTGGTAGATATCTGTGAGTATGTGGTTGTTTCTATTTCTAATGAGTATGTTTAAAAATGGTAATTCGTTAAAATTATATTCTTTGATGAATTAGATTTTGGGGTGTAAGTTCTGAAGTAGAGTGTGGAATTGGTTAATATCGCCACAAGAGGATTTCCAGAAAATGAAGCAATCAGGTAAGTATCGTTTCCACTATATAGTGTGGTGGATTTTTATATTTTCCCAATATATTTGTTCTATCTGTTCATATAGGTTTTCCTCTAGGTAAGTTAATGTTAGGGTGGAGCATATGTTGGTGCCATTTTCGTTCCCATTGCGGTACCTAGGGTTTGGATATAGTTTTTGTTGTCAAATTCAAATGTGTTGTTGTTTTAGAATTAGCTCTATACTGTCGATAATGAATTCCTTAGTGAATCTGGGATGTAGTGTTTCTGGATGTTTTTCAATCCAGAATGAGATTGCCTGTTTACCTAATTCATGCACACAGGGATAGGGAAACATCTCTCATCAACACATCTATTATCACCACCTCTCCAACCAAACCTAATGTTTTCTTAACACTTAGGCAGAAATTCACTTTTGCCAACAGTCCAAAAAGGACTTAAAGGCTCACTAACAAATACAAAAAACGAACAATGAGACATTAAAAGAATATAAGGAAAATTTATTCCTTTTAATTGTCTGAAGAATGTCACGAGACCGGAAATGAGTGTAGCAGAAATATGAAGAACAATATATATATATATATATATATATATATATATATACTAAAACAAATCCTCGTTATAATCAAAAATGTTTTCGGTTTCTATCTTTTTTTATATATATATATATATATATATATATATATATATATATATATACACACACACACACACACACAATGTATAGTAGACGGGGCGACACTAATAGTAAAAATGAATTAAGAAGTGTAAGTATTAAGTGGTTTGCTAACTAAACTAGCAGTCGCGCTTACATTTATTCTTAAGTTAATTTTACCACACACACACACACACACACACATATATATATATATATATATATATATATATATATATATATATATATGAGGGGGGCCTTATTTAAATACCAGTTCCCGTACGATCACCGAAGTTAAGTAATGTTGAGCCTGGTCGGTACCTAGATAGGTGACCGCTTATAGACATCAGGTGCTATAAGCTTGGATGTGCGTTTGGTGTAATGGGTAATGACTCAGAATTGGAAATCAGAAAACCGAGTTCCAATCCTCGCTGGGGGTCATTATATTCACTTACGCGCAAATTATCCTGGAATGGGTATGAATCCACCTCTTCTCTCCCCAGATATGGGTTCATTTGTAAGATTTTTATCATTAAACCATTATCTCATTAAAAAATTCTTACGATCTAAAAATATTTTCTGGCTTTAAATAACCTGCAAATGGTTGATAAACCGTAGAAAACGAAACGATCATTATATATGTATGTGTGCGCGTGCGTGTGTGTATGTGTGTGTATATACGTGTTTATGTTTGTGCGTGATTGGGTTTTGGTCAGTATACGTAATTCCAGAAAATGTCTTTTGTCAAAAACACCGATTAGAATGGAAAAATAGACAGATTTTTTTTTTTTAATTTATAATTCTTACATTTCATGATGACGTCCTATATTCTACAAAAGTTTTGTTTTAATTAGATATTTTTTATTTTTATTTTATTTTTAAAACGCAGTTATTGTTCGTCTGTTTCGGTCGGAAAATGAAATAGGTGGAACAAGAAATCATTGCTAACCCGAAATAAGAAATTACCTTTTGTTTGTTGATATTTTGAAGTAAATTGAGAATTTTCACAAAAATCTGGCAAAATATATTCCCTTGTTCTTTATTTGTTTTTCACTATGTTTAAATTTATATGCGTGTAAAAGATAACAAAGAATTATTTTCTATCTCTTAAAGATTTGAACCGACTGTAGTATATATGAATAGAATAAACCAAATATGAGTCAGCTGATATAGTCACAATTCTGACAGACGTGAACAACGTGAAACATTAAAAACAATTGAGATAAATAAGAAGACAATAAAATAGCTATAAATAAATAAAAAGATTAGAATAGAATTAGTGAGTGAGAGATAAACCTACTTAAAATAAGGTAGATATGAAAAGATTTAGATAGATAGATAGATAGATAGATAGATAGATAAGGGCATAGATAGATATAGAGAAATTGGGAAGCTTTCATATTTTTTATCTTACCTATGAGTAATTTTTGCGGCCGAATCTAATATTCAGCTGAGACTTCTGTTTACAGACCACTGAAGCCATTTTCGCAGATTATTACTATGGGTACTCTAAAAAGAAACAGCTGGTCACGCTTGGCATACAGAGAATACAATCCACCCCAAGAGATGCTTCTGATCTTAAGCACATTGCCAAAAACTTATTGGAAGAATTCATGCTTCTGTCTAAAGAATCACGTACTATCTGCCAGCTGCGAATAATTTGATATGTTTTTGTTCCCTCAAATCGTATATTTATAGAGATTCTTTATCATTCTTTGAAAGCAATACATCACTTACTTGATTTGAGATTAATTTCAAAATGCCTGATGCTATATTTCAATGTTTTATTAAATGATTAGTGCCTAGACGCACACATATATCTATATAGATAGATAGATAGATAGATAGATAGATAGATAGATAGATATATGATAAAACAGACGGTACAAAATCTTCAATAGAAATACTCTAAAACTCGACTTTAGCTGCACCGAAAATATGCTACAAATAAAACAAAAACACAGCGAAAAATCACTAGTACACCACAAACACCCACAATTCCCTCTTGTAAGGGAAGAACTAAGTATGGATGCCCACTAAATGGTAAATGCCTCCAAATTAACATAATATACTAAGCTACTGTAAAAACCAAAGGAAGGCCAAATAAATATAAAAGAATAAGAGAAGGTGCCTGTAAACAGAGAAGCTATTCACACAAAACATAATTTAACAACAGAAAAACTGAGAAAGACATAGATCAAAAACACCTAAAAAATAACCTAACATATACGAAAAATAACAGTAGCATACATCAGCACCTCAAAATAAGTAACCTTTACCTAGAAGAGAAAACAGCAATAATCACCTTTCCATAAGATAAGCACTAAAACAAGATGTCAGAGCTCATTTACAAATCCAAACATAAAAACAATTCCTATTGCTCTACCTACAACCGTATAATCTCTCTATAGATTAAATGACAAAATTGAGAACCGAACAAAGTATACAAAATAAATGGACGAAATATATGAATAATGAAAATAATGAATATAAAATAATAAATAAATAAAATAAGCAATCTAAAAGACATGAAAATAAATAACAACTTCTGTTTCACTTCAGAGTGACAAGTGTAGTCCAGAATGGCACATCGCCTGACACTGTGTGCCCGAACTCAGTGAGCACCCCGTTAAGAAATGTGGAAGTCCATGGTACATGTATAACACGCACTCACCGGTCGATAATGGGTCAATCCTGGGCTGCAGCAGCTAAATAGTATGGCTACTCCTACACACCACCTATACCAGATGTAACCACACCCGCGACGAGCCAATCACAGGGTCAAACATAAACTGGCCAGTGCCGTCGTCAGTCAACTAGTTGTTGGTCGCTAGCCGTTTCGAGTCACACTAATCTGCCCACGCTGTGTTCTTTGATGTTAGAGCAGTGAAAATCGAATGTCGTCAGTAATTCGGAGTGCTGGTTCGAGCCACGGCGAAGCTGTATTATGAAAGAAATAAAAATGTTCTCGCAGAACAAATAAAAACGGAAGATTCGTCGGGTTAGTTTTAAATTGGTCTATATAGTTCCTGGTAAACAAAATCAACTCTTCCTTCTTAAATTTCTATAGTGACACTTTACTCTTCTAAATCATGGAACGGGAATCAAAGTCGGGAATTCTCCCGGTAGCAGATTATTCGAGGTTTTAGTAGCAGCTCGTTCGCTCTCTCGCTGCTCGTCTAGTCTCTCTTTAACTCTGCCTGTGTCACCAAAACGATCTGCTCATATCCAGTCCGGCCCAAGACTTGTGGGGATTCGACTGGTCTGGGGTTTCTGTATTTCCCCAACTTTCGGATTTAGTTGCAGGTATCGTCCCGCCTTTATAACTCATACTTTCTCTTACTGATGCCTCGCACCATTACTTCCAAATGGGCGGAGGTACATTTTCCACTTTTCTCCTCCTCCGTATTCCACCTGAGATCATCCCTACGGGGAGAATTTGAATGTCTTTTTGACAATTCTGATTTTTAAACCGAGTGTGAGAAGGAACGGTCTTATTTTAATCATTGATTTTCCATAACAAATATTATTTCCAGTCTTTAGTCTGATTTGTTCTAGTGCACTTTAACCAGCCACACCGCTCCTACAGCCCTCGTGTTATCATGCAGACAACCCATATAGGTTGTTTCTCATTTTAATTTCCTTTTCGGGTAACAGATTAAGTTTCGTCTCCCGAGTTGTTTATATTTCCACAATTATATTTCAGATGGCTCTCTGGCCTCTCAATAACTTCCATATTTATTGACGGACATAAATTAAGGTTTCTCTTTTTAATTCCCACGGTTAAGGAATAACCTGGAATATACCTTAGCGATTTCCTTCTGCACAGCGGTCTCTTGATATTCTCTCTTCCTCCTCTCTCATATTCCTAGCTCACATTTTTGCATTAACCCCTTCAATTCCACCAGTGTCACATAGTGTAAGACAAGTACAGAGATGGTGGTGTAGGGTTCATGGACCTCGTGCTTCAGTAGATACCAAAACCATAAGAAATTGCCATTTCAAATTTGGTAAATACCCACAAAAGCGGATATCCTTCAACATCCTGATTGGAAGAAAATGTGAAAAGAGTAGAATTTTATCACTGTACTTCTACCATTATGCTGCTTAAAATAAAATATGTTTTATGAAAATTGATCAATAATTAATAAAGTTATTAATAATTTTAAAAAGGAGGTTTCTTTTCACCCACGCTGTATATATAGTCATACACATCTTTTTTATATGCGTGGATTTTAGACGTTTTATTAGTATGTAGTTAGTCTCATTTGAAATCTCTTTAGTACTCTGTCACTTTTCTCGGTATTCTTGCAGTTTTTAAAGATATTGTCGCTTGAATAGTTTTCAGTTTTCCTTGGATTTCCAGTCCTTCGAGTCTTTTTGCAAGACTTTTCCAAATTATTCAGTAATTAACATCTGCATAAGAATGGAAGAAACTGGAAAGAAAAAAAAAGCGAAAAAATGTGAAAGTGATTTTTTCACCCTCTCTTCCTCTCGAGATTTTCTCTCTCTGTTTTTTACATTTTGATAACATGCTATTCCATTATTTCTATATTCTCCCCTTTTCAAGAATTCACACTCTTCTCTTCGCTCTTTTTCTCCCACCAAACTTTTTATTTCTACCTTTACCGCTTTACTTTCTTTATTTCTCGGTGTTTTCTTTCTCTTCTTTTTGTCCTTCCTTTTCCTTTTGCCACTTTCTTTCTTTTCTTTTTTCCTTTTCCTTTTACCTCTTTCTTTCTCTTCTTTCTTCTTTCCTTTTCTTTTTACCTCTTTCTTTCTCTTCTTTTTGTCTTTCCTTTTCCTTTTACCCTTTTCTTTCTCTTCTTTTTTCTTTCCTTTTCCTTTTACCTCTTTCTTTCTCTTCTTTTTCTTTCCTTTTCCTTTTACCTCTTTCTTTCTTTTCTTTTTGTCTTTCCTTTTCCTTTTACCCTTTTCTTTCTCTTCTTTTTTCTTTCCTTTTCCTTTTACCTCTTTCTTTTCTTTTTGTCTTTCCTTTTCCTTTTACCCCTTTCTTTCTCTTCTTTTTTCTTTCATTTTCATTTTAACTCTTTCTTTCTCTTCTTTTTTCTTTCCTTTTCCTTTTACCTCTTTCTTTCTTTTCTTTTTGTCTTTCCTTTTCCTTTTACCCCTTTCTTTCTCTTCTTTTTTCTTTCATTTTCATTTTAACTCTTTCTTTCTCTTCTTTTTTCTTTCCTTTTCCTTTTACCTCTTTCTTTCTCTTCTTTTTTTCTTTTTCCTTTTACCCCCTTTCTTTCTCTTCTTTTTGTCTTTCCTTTTCCTTTTACCCCTTTCTTTCTCTTCTTTTTTATCTCTCTTTCTCTTTCTCTCCTTTGAATAAGTGAATTTTACTTTTGCTCCTTCTTTAATTTCCTTTCGACATTCTAAATTCCTCTCGACCTATCTAGTTTCCTGTCCGTAACATAAAGATCATATTATCTCATCTAAAACTAGAATGTTTCACCGAGCCTCCACTCTTTTCTCCATGAAGAAACAGCTTCATTACACCTTCGTCAGGTTCACACCACGAGATTCATCTCAATTTAACGCAAAACGTCGTTCAGTCAGAAATCAGAACTCAATTCCAACCCAGCCAAATCAGAACTCAATTCCAGCCCAGCCAAACCTTAACAGGTTTGGCTGGGTTGGAATTGATTGAAATGACCGAGATATATATGAACAAGAGGCTAGCAACTAGAAAACAGTCTGGAATAGTATTTTGCAAGTACATTAATTAATTTACTGTTAGTCGAGTAGAAAACCGATATAGCGTCATTCTTACAGCCTGAAAGCGTTTGCCAAATTTGAAAGTCAGCATTGAAAATGTTTTAGCTTGATTCCGTATCGCCGATTTACAAGCGACAAATGTAAGCATGAAAGTACATATAGCGATAAATGGCGGCGGCTGAATTAGGGAGGGGAAAACTATTGTCCCAATCTGTTCAATTAAAAAAAAAAAAAAAAAACTCAGTATTCGAAATCCTGGCCTTGAAAAATCTATTAGTGACTAAGGAGACCAAGAAACAGGAGCATAGGTAGATACTTGCAGCCAGAACATTTTTACGTCCATCGTTTTGCACTAATATTATTTAAGTAACTCCACTTTCACCTCTAATGGTTAGCATTTTAAAGGTAAAAACAAAGAAATTCATCTAAAATCTAAAGTAATGTTATTGACAAGCTCAATAAGACAGATATTTTGGTGTTGCGAAAATAAAGCAAAGGAAGGATTTATCTATCTATATATAAAATTTGGTGACTTCCGTTAGTCCGTCCGTCATGCTCTCTAAAATAACCATATATTGACCGATCGAAACCAAATTTTGGGGAGAAGTGCAAACAAGTAGAGGGGTACAACGTACACTTGGTTTTACTAGGGTGCGCCTGTTAGTTCAATGAATTTTCATTAATTCTTTTGTAAAAATTAAAAGTTTTATTATTTAACATAAAAAAATACTCCAACCGATTTAAAAAAAAAAAACAATTTAATGATTAAAATAACAAATACTTATTTAATAAAAATGCAATATTTTTTTAGCATATATTTTCTTTAAGTTTTTATATACAATATTCCAGTTTCTAGTTTGTCCTGAGTTTGCGAGAATTATAAACAAATCAAAGGGCCAAACGCTTCAAACAGTTGGAATTTAGCTCCAGAAATATTTACGCATGGTCAATTGTATGTTGCATGCTCAAGAGTAAGAAATCCTAAGAATTTATTTTTCGCTGTTAAAAAGGAAAAAAAAGAAATTTTCTATAAAAATATTGTTTACCATGAACTCCTATAAAATTAAATTAAATTAAAGAAATTATTAAACCACGAAATAAGGCTTTTGTCAAAATATTTTTCCAAACAAATCAGCTTATTTAAATTTCATCGATTGGTTTGCGAAATTGAACGAAACATAGAGTTTGTAAATCTCGACAAAAAATGTTAGCGTGTTGCAAAAAAGTTGTAAAAAAATTCCAGAAAAAAGTGTAAGGATTCGTAAAATGGAACCTGTACTAATGTGAGTAACACGAGTTAAAATCTGTTTGAAGCATCATGCTTAATAATGCTGAGTCTCAATCAAATGTTTAGCAATTGCGTTACGACCAATTCAAGGAGATATTTCTCGTTCCAATTTCCTGAAAAAGAAGTATTTTTATTTTCTCTCACGTAAAAATATAACGTTTGAAATAATGAATAATGTCGGGTTAAAAATAAAATCTATTAATTCCGTAGTAATTACTTTTTTTTACTTTTCATTTACGAAAATAAATTTAGCAAATATGAAATTTCGAGCAGATGTGGGCTTTCGAGAAGATCTGGACGAGAAGATATGCATTCCTTCATAGAGTTATTGAACCTTGCTGAGCTGTGAAATTCCCTATGACCGAACGATCTGAAACACACTGGATCAAAGGGTCGTTTCTCCTATAAAGTGTAGTGCAGGTTCAAACCCTGCTAAATTTAACTGTAAAGTAATGGTTAACAAGCTACTTTCGCAAACTCATAATTGTTAGATTCTTACTGAGTGCCTTAAAATTGAATAAAAACTATGCAGGAGGACCAGACGGAATTATAGTAGACATGCTGACAGCCTTGAACATTTTCGGCACAGAGAAAATTACAGACATAATAAATGAACTATACAACACTGGTGATATACCGGAAGACCTCTAGTAGATCTAATTTCATAGCGCTACATAAAAAGCCAGGTGCAAATGAATGTGAACTCCATCGGACAATTAACTTAATGAGCCATATAACAAAACTTATCATTAGAATTCTGAAGAATATAGCGTGTAGCAGAATCAGACCAGAAACAGAACAAGAACAGTGCGTTCGTTAAAGACAATGGAATAAGGAATATTTATGTTCAGAATGATATCAGAAAGAATGTGTGTGTGTATTTTCTAAAGAAGTAATGGCTATTTATTAATCCGGCAGATTACTATCACTTTAAACAGTGTATTTATTTATTTTCCTAAGTGTTCGAAAAATCTTATTAAAGTAAAATAAGTGGAGAGCGTTTTCTTTAATAATATTTCTATAATATTCAGGCTGGTAAACGAAAATAAATAATGTCAAAAGAATGATAAAAAAAATGAGCAGAGATTTTAATTAAGGATTAATTTCACTAAAGACAATGGAGTAAGGAATGCTATATTTATACTCAGAATGATACCAGAAAGAGTAATACAAATGCAGAACGATGTGCTTTTAAAACTGTGCTTTATAGATATTCAAAAGCGTTTGATAAAATACGTTACAAACAATTGTTGGAACTCTGGATAACCTTGACATATTTGAGGAAGATATTAGAATAATCAAGAACCTGTGTTGGCATCAAACCGTTGGCATATGGATAGAAAATGAGTCCAGTAAATATAATAAATATAAAGGAGTGTGAGACAAGGATGTGTCTTCTCGCTGGACGTATTTAACCAATACAATGAGGCGATTCTGGGAGAATTAAAAATCCTACCAGGATTCAATATTGGCGACCACAATCTTAACAGCGTAAGATATGCAAATGATACAATGTTCGTAGCAAACGCAGAAAAGAAACTACAAGAACTTTTACAGAAGGTAGTGAAAGAATGCGAGAAGAAAGAACTAAACATCAATTGCAAGGAGACAGAATACATGGCTGGTAGCAAAAGGAACTGCCCAACATGCAAATTTCATTGGATAATCAAACAAGTACAAGAAGTTAAATGGGGTGCCGAACTCGGAACTAATTTCAACTCGGAACTAATTTCAAAGCCTCATATCTTGTTTTGAAACTTTTAATTTTTTTTTTACATTGTAATTTCTAATGAAGTTATCTATTTACGAACGTGAAATATGTGAAATCCTCAGCACACAGATTTAAATTTCAATAAATCTGTGAAGTTTTCAAACGAAATTAAAACTTAATTTATTGATTTTCTTAAATTTTGATTAATAACGGCTTCTTTTGAATGAGTCTTTTTACAAAAAAAAAACAGCTAAGCCATTTACTGTTCTTGCTACAAAGAACATTGCATTTTTATTGGATCAGATTTAAATGAATAAAAGTAAATAAAAAGTACCATTTTATTCATTTGCAACAAAAAAAAGAATGTAATTTGCAGAAAAGATGAATTCTGAATTATCTTTTCTACTAAGGATTTTTAATGCTAAATTAAAAAATTAACCCGAACCCATTGCATTTTGTTTAGGAATTCACAGAAATTGATAACTTTGATTTTAAATCGAGTTGAAATTAGTTCCGAGTTGAAATTAGTTCCGAGTTTAAATTAATTCCAAGTTGAAATTCGTTCTGAATTGAAATTAGATCCGAATTGAAATTAGTTCTGAGTTGAAATTAATTCCAAGTTGAAATTAGTACTGTCACTCATTTAAATAACTGAGAAGTGTTTCAACAGAGGACTGAAATTGAAACACTGAAACCCGAAGTCACATCGGGATAGCGAAAGATTCCTTCCTAAAGTTAAGAAAAGTATTAAGAAACAGAAAAATTTCGTTAACAACAAAGGAAACAGCATTTAACTGTTATATAATATCGATCCCCCCTCTGGTAGTGAATTCCTCATAAAAGAAGAAGGGAACTGAAACAACAGAAACGTGATTTTACAGGAGGATGGTGAGAATACCATAGACGGAACATATGAGCAACCACGAAGTTTTAGAGAAAATGGAAACAAAAAGGACATTTATACTTAACATCAGAAAGAGACAGTGGAAATTTTTAAGGCACATAAGAGAAAGGAAAGTGAACTTGGAAAATATGATACTCACAAGACATACTGAAGGCAAGAGGGACAGAGGAAAACAAAGCATAACCTACCCAGTGAGCTTGAGTAAATGGATGGCAGGACAAGGTTTAAGAGAGATAACAAAAAGACAAAATTTATTAAGAGCTACAAAGAACAGGAAATTGTGGAGAGCCATGATCCACTACGTCCTGAAAGTACACGAAACATAGAAGGAGAATATCTGAAACGCTGTCCGAGCAAGCTGAATTTATTAAATATCCGCTTACCACAAATTTATGTGACACAAGATAGAATAGAGGAAACATATCGAATGGGAAGTATGTTTTATTATACAAATGTATCTTTGTTGCAACAATGACAAAAGAAATTCTTGTCGCATTTATTTGAATACTGTATCAATATAATTGTTTTATTTGGCTTGCAAAATGACAAATGGGTCAATGATAGCCAATTCTTTTGATGGATTTAATTTTCGTCTCATGAGTAGGGCAAACTTCATGCATTGTTGAATGCATACAAGGTGGTTTCAGTTCTATCAAATTCTTTGTTTTGAGCGGATCGTATTTACTCCAAGCTAGGTTTGATGTGCCTTTG